ATATATATATATATATATATATATATATTATATTTATATACACTATCTCTCTTGGTCTAAGTTATGTCACACGCATTAATTAGTATTGTGCATGTTCTACCTACGTGTGGAAATGCAGTTTCGAAAATCCTCTTTGAGTCTCACACGATTTCCAAACACGTTGGAAGACGGTCAATCATTTTATCTTTCTCTTTTTTCTTTCTTTTTTTTTTTTTTTTTATTATCTTCTCTCTCTCTTTCTCTCTTTCTCTCTCTCTCTCTCTCTCTCTCTCTTTCGTACCATTTCTATCTCTTTCTATCACCGTATAGAACTCTGCGAACTTTTATTTCACACCTATCATCTTGCTAATGGAAAAACCTGGTGCGCGAGCATATTAATTTTTACGTATTCCCTCACCCCCCCCCTCCCGCCCACGTATAATTCAATAATAATGTTATTTCGTATTACTGTCCTCTGTATTTTTCCCTTTTTTCTTTTTTTTTTCGTATACCCAGCAGTCTCGATAACCAAACAAAATTAATTCGGTTCTCGGTTTTTTACTCTTACATGTTCTTTTTTTTTTTTTTTTTTTTTCACGGAATAGTCAAGCCTCGAATGGGAAAAAAAAAATAATGAAAATTGGTAAAGAATTTTAATAATAGTAACGTTTATTATTTTTCCCCCCCCCCCCCAAAAAAAAAAAGCACAAAATTAATATTTTTGATACGAAGAGAGAAGTATTCTCTTTTTAAATATGGTTGGGGTTGTATGTGGTTTTAAATTATTAATCAAATATTTCAATTCCTAATTCATTTTTTTTTTGGTTTATTCTTCTTCTTCTAAAAAAAAAAAATATCCCAATTCTCGATTTATTATACGTAGGTGTGATGTGACCGATTTGTAAAAAAAAAAAATATAAAACACGTGGTATGTTGGAAAGAAAAAAGAAAATAACATTATAAAAGCGTTAAAAATAATTTAACAAAAAGAGAGAGAGAGAGAGAGAGAGAGAGAGAGAGAGAGAGAGAGTGGAAGTGTGTATGAGAGAGAAAGAGAGAATGGTTTTAAATGGGAAAAGAGAAAGGACGAAGTTATAATGGTGTCGAGTATGTTCCTATAGATTATGAGTAGAATAAAGTAGTAAAGTGCTGTCGCGTGTCAGCCGTGTAGTAAGAGGTCAAAGTGTACGACGACACAACGAATACGATGACGATAACGAGAAGAATAGGGGATGGGGGGGATATGGGGTGGGGGAGGGGGAGGAGGTGGGTAGAGAATGAGCACATGTGCTCTGTTCTATTTATATGTTAGAACGTTACTACAACGTGGTCAAGTTAATTCGTGAAAAATGACGCGTGTTATAAAACCTTAAAATAATTATATTGATCTACTTTATAAATAACATTCTTGCTAAAAATTACATCCTATTTCTATCAGGATTTTGTGTATTATATTATAAAGGTGGTGGTTTTTTTTTTTTTATGGAGAACTGAAAACGAGAGATAAAAGAAACACGTATTAACGTGATAGTTCTATTTAAATTATCGTATAATGAAATAAATAAAACTTACTGTTCTTCGTGAAGGTAACGATTTTCAGGACCTTTCCAAAACGTGTGAATATCTGAAACAAAAGAAAATATCATTTATTATATTATTTATATATCTATCTGTTTTTTTTATTTTTTTTTGGATATAGAGAACGTTTAAAGAATATAATAATTTTAAGATAATTAAACTAACTTGGATGTAGACAATTTTTTTTTGGGGGAGGGTGGAGAGAAGAAAATACTTTGAAAATAGGGATTTTATCGTTCTTTCTTTCTTTATTTATTTCTTTTTAGTTTCACTTCCCCTTATTCGAAATACGATTAAGGATTTTCTTCTCGCCCCTTTTATTTTTTCTCTCCCTTTTCTCGTTCCGCTTATATTATGTGTATGTAAAATCGTAACCGAGATTAACAAAGAAAAAAAAATCATTTTTATTACACGTGTAGGAATCGTGAAAGACGAACAGTGTAGAATAATATTTCGTTTCGTTCACAACACACACACACACACACAATTTTATAATACTGAGAAAGAAAAGATGATATTAGAAAAATTCACGCGAAAAAGTTAAAAGAACAATTTTTTATTTCTTATATTTTTTTTTTATTATTATTTAGATATATGTATATATATATATATATATATATATATATATGTGTATTTATAAAAAATTAAATTTATAAAAAATTATTAAATTTTATAAAAAATTAAAATTAATTTGCGTGATTATATATATGTGCGTGTGTGTGTGAGTTAGAGAGAAAAAGATAGAGATAACTACTACTATGCTAGTATGGTTGAATGCACACGATGATGTTGCATACGTGTCGATGGGGGTTCACCGATCGAATTAATGTCACGAATGCAAATATTTGAGGCCATTCGGCTGTTTCCACGTTCATGTGACCAAGGCTAGTCGATCGTTATAAATCATCGGAGTTATGGGATTTTCGATTATTCACTTCTCACCGTCTGTCCTCCGGCATAGGGAACGACGATATATGTATATGTATATGTGAGAGTCTGTGTGTGTAGAGATGCGATGGTATTACGCGAACGTCATGCAAATTAATTAGCAGAAAATAACAGAAACGACTGGGTTTCGAATATGTGGAAGAGGAGGAGGTGGGGAAGGGTAGGGAAGAGTAGGGAGGGGTTGGGAAGGGAGGAAAAAAAAATAGAGATACTCGATGAATATTATTCTGGACGTTCGTTTGTCAACGAAAAATTCAAACAAAAACTACGGAGGAACAATTTTTTTGTTACATACACGGCAGCAGCAAACATATTTACATATGCGTGTGAAACGGCGGGCACATAAATACGCGAGAGAAATAATACATTCATAATATTTAATTTCATTCCAATAATATTATATTCGTTTGTGAAAAATTGAACTGGAGCAAAAAAGAAAAACAAGAGAAATATTATTTCTATGAATAAGAGAGAGAGAGAGAGAGAAAATTGTTCACTTTTATATATATACGATATGAAATGGTTTCCTTTTGTCATTTATTCGTACGTTAATAGAAAATCTATAAATAAAAATTAATTTGCGTGATTATATATATATATATAAAAGTAGTTAATTATTATTTATAATATATAAACAAATTTTTAAAGAAAAATTGAGACAAGCTTTGATTTCAAACGTATTAATAAATTGTTAGTAAAGTAATTTTTTTGTTGGAATTATAAAATTAAAAGATATAGTGTCGTTAAAAAAAATAGTACACATACACACGCACACACACACAGTTGGAGAAGTAGAATGTTAACTCTGCTTGATATTTTATCATTTGGATAAATTAATATTTAATATATATGAGAAAGATTCAATATATTTCTATTTCTTTTTTACTTTGGTCTCTAAAAGCAACAAAATAACAATAAGACACGTTGACAATGCTTTAACGTTTGCTTCTATTTTAAAGGTACGAGCCTGTATTATTATACATATCTACATAAGTAAAAAAAACCCACACATAGAGATAAAAAAAAAATGATCAATTAAAGAAAGATCAATCGAACGTTTCCGAAACTCTCAAATTCGATCAATTTAAACACCCACGATAATAATAATAATGACAATAATAATAATAATAATAACAATAATAATTATAATAACAATAATAATTTGTACAATGGGCAGGGTGTATATATTCGGGAAACGAGACATCCGGAAAGTGTTTTAATTGTATCGAAGAACGCGCATTAACAGAGATTTGCTAAATTACGCGAACCAAATGAACGTTATAGTAGAATATGTTACGTTTGTTCGTATGGTGTGTATGTGTATGTGTATATTGTTATTTTCCATTTGCTTGCTGTTAAAGGGTTGCATAGAAAAAGCTGTGCCCCCTCCTTAACCCCCTACCAATAACGATAAAAATCACACAATCTTTATCTTTCTATTTGACTATCTTTCTATTTGTTTTCTGTTTTTTTTTTCCCCATATAAAAATACATTTTCTCTCATTATCGTATCGTTTAGGTTAATAGTAGTAGTAATAGTAGTTTAGGGTCAGATGCCGCCATTCGACAAATATCATTTTCATTTATGGTAAATTTACTCGTACACGGTGGTTAGAGTTATTCGAAATAGTTTAACGAAGAAAATTAATTACCGCGATATTTTTTGTCTTCCCCTATTTCCCCTTTCATGTGTATGCGCGCGCTTCCTTGTTTCTCTGTGTATGGTTTTTGTTTTTTTATTTTTTCTCTTCTTCTCTCCAAACGATTCAAATGATACGGAAAAATAACGTTAACAATAAGCGTTAAAAGCGTTTAAAAGGGGGAAAAAAAGATTTTTATTATACCCGAACGATTTCCATGAATTTTATGAGATACCATAACAATAGGATTACGAGTTTATTCATTGATGTTACACATTTATTTATTTTTCTTTTTTTTTCTTTTCGTTTAGAAATCGTAGGAATTCAAATTATGCGAAAAATACGTAGAAAATGATTTCCTTTTTCTTTTTTTTTTCTCTCTCTCTACGCGCGTATTTATCAAGTTTGATGTTTATTCTAAAATTAATAAAAAAACACATTCATATTTATTATTATTATTATTATTATATTGTCTCTCACTTTTTTTATACGAAACAAAAATACAATTAGAGTGCGCCGAACGCGTGATTATTTTAAGTTACGAAAAAAGAAAAAAAATAGAAAAAAAAAAATACAGAAATTCAGAGAATTGAGAGAGAGAGAAAGTGAATAAATGAGAGAGCAAGTAAATAAATAAATAAATAAATAAATAAATGAATAAATGAATGAATGAATGAATGAGTTGAGTGAGCAAGAGATGGGAAAGAACATATTCGATATTGATATTGGAATTTTTGATGGTTGCCGTTTCCCGTTTCATCATCCCAGGTTCAGTCGAAAATAGCTGGCAAACACGCCGACAGTAAAGGTTTTGAAACCTTTTCCCGTTTCCCTTCGTAACACACTATATCAATGTTTACAATATATATATATCTATACGATAGCTAAATAAACCGATGAATAGACCAGACCAGATCAGACTATACCAGAAACTAAACCAGATCCATACAACCCCCCCTTCACCCTCACCCCCATTCCTACAACTATTGGGGAGTGAGAATAAAATGAACGAATTCATACAAGATACATACTCATACATACATATATATATATATGTGTGTATTGATCTATATTGATCTATCAGATCAATAGATTGAAATTGTTCGTAACAAAACTCGTAACGTGTAAATATATGTGTGTGTATGTATATGTGCGTGCGATGGGAAAATTCTATTTTGGAAAATGGAATTAGGGTTGTAATCGTCAAGGAAATTGAACTTTTGAGCTTTGATTAATGAGAAGATTTTCACTATATCCTGTGTAAATATAAAATATGTTTTTGTATGGGTATACGTGTGCCTATGAGAAAGAAAGAAAGAGAGAGAGAGAGATAGAGATAGAGAGAGGGAACTATCATGAAAATGGCAGACAATAATATTAATTAAATCCGCATTTAATTAATTACTCAATGCTCCGGTATATTTTTCGGCTTCGCAACGACGCAAATTATCTCGATAAATTCCCAACAAATCTCCGCCATTAGCTCGTGCCGCAATACTCGTTTTATTAAATATATTCACCAATAGGAGGAAAATGTAATTGTGTATGAGAAAATCGTTCGTCGTTTCGTATACATGTGTATCTATATATATATATGAGTTTGTATGTATGTGCATATGTATGTTTATAGGATAAGTAGTATATAAATGTTCTCGTTCATGTATAAAATATATATATATGCAGGTGAAAATATGCAAGCTACCACAAATTAACGAATCTACAGGGTTATTAATCCCCTTTAACCCTCTTTTACTTTGGTTTTTTTTTTCCTGCCTCTACCCAATATCCACGATGCTCTTCCGTTTATTACATTTTATTATTATACATCGTAATACTTTCGACGATAGAATTGTTACCCTTCTCCACCACCTCACCTCATTTCACCACACCACATCTTCTCACCTCTCAACTTCCCCTTTTTGAAGAATTGTTAATAATTTCTTTTTATATTGTTTACGATTAATATATTCGTAGTTATGAAATTAATATTGAATATTAAGATATTGGGAACGATAGATGAATAATAATGAAAAGAAATAGGAAATGAAATGATTGTTCATTTGAATGTGTTATAACAGATAGATTTTA